ATTTAACCCTAGAAAGATATGACAACGTACGTAAAAGATAACCATACGCTTCAGAGGCGCATGCTTTTCTAAGGCGTCAATTTTATACTAACAATGGATATTTATTTAAGTTAATCTAGTCATTTTAAAGGTTTGGCATTATTGTAAAAATAAAATGCATTTATATTATACTTTTTTATATTTTAAGTAATTTTAAACTTAAATCACTAGACCTCTATGAAAAATTAACAAAAATCAACAGTCTTTCGCAGGCGCCTCTGCGACGTAGGTTATCTTTCTCGGGTTAATGAAATTTAGATGAAAAAATTAAATCGTGCGGCATCGATTACATTTTCAACGTTCTAGCGTTTCATCGGCTTAAATATTAATTTTCAAGCCTATTTAAATAATTCCGTCAAGGTGTTAACACGAGGTGATACTTTCTTTCAAATGAAGCGGCATCGTTACGAAGGCACTGTTTTAATTTTGTAGGAATATTAAACAGTGTGCAGAGAACAATGTTAATACGACGAGCCTCGTGAACTAATAGTTTCATTAATCCGTAATTACACACCCGACCGCGCAAAGCGAAAATTCCCGTGAAACGATAAAAATAAAACTCGACGAAGTTCTTCGGAACTCGATGGAATTTTTTTACAAAACCCATTTCCAACGCCAGGCTTTCTAAATCGGTTTGTAATTGGTCGTATCTGCATAAAGCACCGCGGTTCAATTAATTATTTGCGCATTTGCCGCGAGTAAAGCCATTCAGCGTTCCCGAGAACCCTGAGAGCCTGCGATCGCTGTCAATTAGCATTGTAATTCGTTTTACGCTATTGTTGTCCCATTATTGTCGCGTGTATATTTGATAAATATTTCTAACGATTGAAAGTTATTTTCGAAAGTTGTTTTAAATTTATTTTATTTTTATATGGTTATTATATTATTGCGTTTTACACACAGTTGATGAATCTATTGTACTTTAAAAAATCTAGCGTACCACGAAAAATTCTACCGCGGTTGGACGAATTGTTCGAATCTTAAAGTTTACGGATGTTTCGATGGATAAGATCGATAAATGTTTGTAATCTCTACGAAGCTTTAAGGATGCCATTGAATTACGATGTCTCGTTGTTGTTGTCCGAGTAAAATTGTGCCTATCTCTGAATTACAGTAATTAGTCGAGCGCAGCGACGTTTTATTAATCGATCGTGATTAATTGTTTGTAAGCTGGGTGTCGCGTAACGATCGCGGATAATCGTGTTACCTCAACGAAGAATGATTATTTGTTAAGCAAACGATTCTATCGGCGATTCGCTTCGAGTTTATTACATGTATTATACCTTCCTTTACATTAACTTTACTATAACTGGTTTGCAATGCGATGTAAAGACGCGGGATTATACACACGGTGGACATGCAATCAGACATATGTTTTTGTATATATATGAAAGAAATATAATATATTAATTAGATCCGAGATATAATGAAGCGCCTACTTCGAATTATTACAGAACCTGGTCATACGTCACAATTGGAACGCGGATCTCCATGCGAAATAAAAATTTGTTCGATTTAAATTCAGAATAAATTTTTGCCGTTTTATTTTTCATTGTTTAATTTTAACATTGTTACAAGTGCCAGCTATTAGTTCTGTATTATTCTTGGCTCAAAATACATTGCAACACGTAATATTTTCTGAAGAATAGCAATTATTAACGGCAGAACTTCAGATTAAAATCGAAACTTCAAAGCAATTAGCTGGAAACAAGCTGGAAATTAGCTGGAAATCAGCTGGAAATAGCTGGAAATCAGCTGGAAATAGCTGGAAATAAGTTCATCGTTCGTATTATCCATCGATGGATTAGATTTCTTAGTTCGATACTAATGACGATTACGTAATACATTTATATTCAGATACAAATTAATTTTCCTCAAGTTAACAATTTTATATTTCGAACAGAAGCGTTGAATAGTTGCAAATTCTCTAATATATTTTTCCAAAGTTGTCAATAATCGAGACAGTAATTTTTCGTTCGCAACATTAACTCGATCGATGCGTTATTAAATCAAACTCATTTTGTTAATGAATTTATTATTTCTGGTTTTTAATATTTATAACATTTCAGTTCGTTAGAGATTAGGTTAAGCACTGCCGTGGCTATTTTGCCATTTAATTCGTTATTGGAAATAATTAATAACGTTAAATATTCAGGGTGATTTTTATAGCAATTGTCGATGACATTAACATCGATGATATTTTATTCATAAATTTATTATTTCTGTTTAATAATTGTAAGAATTTCTTTATCTAATGACATCTTCTAGAAAACATCCGTCTGTTTTACAATCTAATGTTTAAGCAAAAATAGCTGACAGAACTCGAGGTACAGGCAAACTTTTCGATTACAAATATTTCGAAAAATTATTTCGGTAAATCATTGATGATGTGGCTTCCAAATCATAAAACGTGTCGTAGTACAAACGAAGTATACAGAATACTCGATTCTCGCTAAGAAGCTTAAATTTCTGAAATATCGATAACGATGAGCGCGATACAGAAATGATAATCGGCTTCTGTAGACCCGTCTTTGGTTGTTAGGTGCGGGTGCTATTGACCTAACGGGGGAGTTGATCGAAACTACGAAATAAATAAAATTTATATCGGGTGCTAGGTCTACTGTTATATATAGTTTGTATCCGTCGGTTCCTAAGTCTGTGGCTACATCTACATCTCGTTTTCGATGATCTTTCGATTCTGTGTAACCGACGAATGGGTTCCAGTCCGTGCTAACGTGCAACTGTTGGGTTCGGAACCATGCTAGAAAGGAATTTGCCCTCTACCGAGAATTAATCGGTTTTTCAAATCTTTTTTTATAAGGAATGAAGAAGAGGTATTAAAGGTACTTGGGATTATTTCAATATCGTCGATATATTTATGTACAAATGAATATTATAAATCATACAATTAATTGCTTCTATATTCAGTACATAAAAATAATTAGCTTCTACCGTACTAAAAGTAATAGTAAGTTAAATTTTACACCTCCAGTTGAAACATGGGATTAGGAAGAATTACTGGCTCAATGTATCGAGACATATATAATCGATGGATGCACGGAACTGCACCGTTGTGGTTCTAATTTCGACGAAATGCGATATTGGAATTTAGCGTATACAATTGGAGGGGCACATTGACTATTCTGTTCCTTATAAATCTGTTCCTTATTCACAAATAATTCTACACTTATTATAGAGCATCTGTTTTTATTAAATACCTTCTCTGCATTCTCATTATGTTTACAAGTTGACTTCTCATAAAAAATACTTCTCTTATTGTACATAAAAGTCTGCGACGTACGTTGTATCGAAATATACCTTGCAGATAATTAACTGTCCGATAATATATTACACCTTTTTACATTAGAGGTACGGGTCCGATGAATTGACTTATTTTTATTAAATTAAGTAACGAGTTTATATAAAAATATTATATAGCGTGTGACATAAATAATTAAGTATATATTTGTGTTTTTTTTTTACAAATTATCGTATGAAATAGGGCATTGTACAAAACGTATCGTTTTAAATAGTCATAATATTAGTGTGAGGACGTAAAATAAATAATAAATAGATTTCAGATTCGATATTCGCTCGAGTTCATATACACACTGCATGTTAACCGTTAGCATTATAATAAATAGTAGTCGCTCGAATTTCATAATCTTTTTTCATTTTTCCAAGGCACCACGTTGCAGTGGTTTACGAAGGCGAAACGTTGCGTGAAGTCTACCCTTGCTTCTGAATCAGAAGTCACAACGCATAATAGTTACGTAAACGTAATCTGTCAAGGTCAAGCAACCCGGGGGTACCTAAATAGGTATACACGCTCCAATAAATGCATTTTCATTAATGCACCACGCATTATGCGAACAACGCTGTACGTATCTTCTAAAAGACAAGACAAAAAAAACATCTTCATAAAGTTGCGCATTCTCGATAAACTTAACATCTCGACGAAGACAAATGTTAATACTTATATACTTTCATTTCGTTCAACGGATTCTACGAGAGATCCCTAGCGTAGAAATATTATACAATCGTCGCTCGCGTCTCGTGAGTCCCCATAATCTTTGTCACCGTATTTATTAACACTTTAATAGAAGAGATAATTCAATTTGTCTACTTTGCTAAATAATATCCTTATAGTTTCATGGAAACTGTCGTATACCACAGAGCATAGTAAAGCATCTTTTCTGACGTGCTCTCTTACACACACGCACACACTCTTTCTCTCTCTCTCTCTCTCTCTCTCTCTGGCTCTCTCTTTCTCCCTTTCTCTATTGAGTCGATTCGATGACGTTGCTTGCCCCCCCCCCCCTAATTATCACACATTCAATTCAGAAAAGAAGACAGCCAAACAATGCTCTGCATTGAATGTATGATACACTACATATATAAATGTGTCTTTCAGGACATTTATATGCATAAACGCACCCTGTACGTATCGATTCCGTGGGTGGGCGTAAACACACCTTCTCCAGTTATAATACTTTTGTTTCTCAATTCGAACAAACACGTTCAACCGTTTAGCGACGTGGAACTACCCTGTGAATTCTGATCGTCGACGCTATACAGGGAACTATAGTTTACTTCGTGCTCTATTCGAGATCAGTTCGCCGTTTCCTATCGAAATATACGGTCGGTGACCTTTTCTAACACCTTAGCTGCCGGAATTCTTCTGCAGAACACGATTTCGGTAATTTTCTTTTACATAGAAAAATCCCAAAAGGTACGATGAAACGTTAAAAACGTTAAAATATTATATATTTCCGTTTAAGAAAGTCCATTGATATATTGTACTGGAATGACAACCTCGAAATTCCACTAAAAATGACTATAATTCAAAGAAATGTTTATATTTCTTAATTTATTTTGAGGCCCAACAGTGCCTGCAGATAAAGTGTTAGAAAGGATTTGAACGCCGAGTTTGAGTCTACAATCTGAAGCAAACTTATCTTGAATAAAGTTGTCGGTACTTACACGATTCAGGCGCTTGCGCCTCGCTATGTTACTAAAGAGAACAGGAAAAAAAACTATAAATCTATCCTAGTCAGCCTTCTGTATGTTCCCGCTTTGCATGGTACTTGAGCAGTAGCTGCCGGTCATGCCGGTACTTATCATTAGTGTTTATGTTGGTTAGAATCTGAATCCGGTTCCGAACTGGAACCGGAAGACTCCCCAGCATTAACGTTCGCACTGCAGCGCGAGCTCCTTCGGCTACTGGAGGTCGTGTGCCTGCATTTTTCACTACGGTCCATTGTACCTACAATAATAGTCACACCAAAATTATAATATCCAAATATCATTGTTAATATTAATTTATCGGTAACACTGTGAGCGCTGTGCAGCCATTTTTCTTGGTAATTTCTGAATTCTCAATTCAATTTTACAATTTGCAACCAAGCGGCCACTGATTCTAAACTTATAAGTCGTCAACTTAGCGAATAGATAAATGCGAAAGACTTAAAATGCCGCTCAACGTGTTAAAAGTCACACAGATATTGATTCTCTAGCATTGTATTTTCCTCCGATTGCTAGAACAGATACTTACTGGTTAACGGTGTATGAACTTCCACCTTTATGTTAGCTGTCGCAGTGACCTTGGTCGTGATATGAGACGTCGACGTCACTGGTGATATTCGACTAGACCCACTTGTATCTGATCCACTACAGTTCTGTTAGTTAAAACAAAAGCACACGGGTTAATCATGCTGCTTGGGGCACATCATTCACGCAGTGTTACGATATCTAAGCAGCTGTAAAAACAGGGTGAGCAACATATCTCTCATCCACGACAGGACGCTATGTTGACCTAGCGAAAGGCATGATCCCGAATTAAACAACGTTCTCCTTTAAGTTTACCTCCCGTTAACGGACGGCCATGTTGCTCGCTCTGTGCATCTTTAACTTTAAGCAATCGATGAGTATCGCAGCAGCTACCAAAATATCATCAATATGTGGGTACATATGAAGGGATCGAGAAACAGGTTTCGGCGATCTGTTTCACCTTAAAAAAAATAATACAAAACGCGTGGTGGACCGTACCTGATTACCACACGTCGACGTCGTCTCGACCTTCAATTCCGGCTGGACGATTATGCAAGACTCTTGCGTACTATGCCAGGAGTTCGGCTCCTCGGTAATCGTCGTCAAGGAAGGCTCGGCGTGTAACCTAGCATTATCGATCTTGTACGATCTTCTGGGTGGTGCTGGGGGCTTCGACCTTCTGACGATCGGCGAGGCAGGTGGTGTTGGTGTTGAAATCCGATCCGGGTGATCGTTGGGTATCACTTCCGGACACGGGCCGATCAAAGACAATAAGATCGGCAGGAAGAACAGGCCGTTCACCAGACCGATCCCGATCAGGCAGAGCAACACCAAGAAGAAGTATCGCACGATGAACTCGAACTCGGAGAAGGCTAGCATCACGATAGCCAGCAGAGTCGTCAATGCCCCGTGGATCACTGGCGCGTACATGTGCCCCAACGCTAGGCGGACCCTTCGATCTCTGCTTCCGATGCTCGTGACGAAACTCTGCGAGCAAGGAGATCATGACATTTTTAGAACATCTGGTGGATTAGAAAGCTACTATTCTTCGCCGTTGGTAGGTAATCTAGTTCCGATATTCTACTCACCAGACAGATATGCACGGTAAAGTGCACCGCGATCCCAACGCTGACAACAAGAAGTACAGCAGGAACCGCGCTCAGCTTGATGTCGCACAGGCCCATGAGCCCCAGGAGTTGCAAAACAACAGCAGCAAGAGACGAGCCGACCAGCAAAGCAGCCCAGAGGTTCAACAGCAGAATTCCAACTACGACGACGCTGGCAGTCAGAGCAGCCAACAGAGCTATGCCCAGATAGCTCCTCAAGTCCATGTACTGTTCCCAAAATTGAAACGGTATGCCGGAAGGGAAATTCGGTAGTCCCCTTTCCTCGAACTTCCTGCACAGTTTTCTCACACTGCCAATCAATTCGGTGATCTCCTGCGTGTCCGTGAGCTTGTGCAAGTAGAACGGCATCTGGGCGTACGTCAGAGGCATGCTTTTAGGGATCTTCAGCTCGTGATCGTTGGTGTAGATCCACTGTCTGGGCTCCGGCCTCAAGTTAGCTTGGGAGGATCCGTAAGCGAGGACATCGTTGGACACCCAGGCGCTTAGGTAATTATAAAACGCTCTAGGGTTGATGATCCCTTCGGAATCGACGAGTCTGACTTGAACGACCAGGGACTTGTCGATGGGGTTATCAACATGGCCGGTCTGGACCAGGAGCTTGTAAGCCAAGATCGCCTCGTCGCTGGCGTTCTTGTACCATCTCTCCTGCGTGATACACCCGTTGCTGTAATCCCTGTCGAAAGCTCCCTGCAGGCCTCTCAACCAGTCGCGAAACAAACTGAGCCAGAACTCCGGCAGGCCGCCGTTGTCGTTCTTGATCACGTTCTTTATCCTCATGAACGCGTCGTGATACTCGTACAGCAGCTTCTGGTTGTTAGGGTACTCGAAGTCCCTGCCGGTGACAGCGTACATGTTGTAGAACCCGAAGTGCTTCGCCTGGGCGGCCAGGAAAGCGTGTTCGTTGGAATTCTGCGGGACCAGATCGGTCAGCTCTAGACCGTCGTTCACACGGATCGCCTGCCAGACGCTGCCGGCTAGAACCGCGATCAGCATCATCATGCCGAAGACCTTGGTCGCCGGTTTGGTGATGAAAGGTGCGTAATGCCTGGCCGCCATCTGGGTCAACGAGAAACTGAGGCAGTCGTCCTGGCTGCAACCGGTCAGGGTGTCCTCCTCGCTGCACTGCTTGTCCAGGTCCACGTCCAGGTTGCCGCCGACCCAGGACTCGCTCTGAGCATTCTGCGACGTCAGAATCTGCGTGCAGGTCTCGCGCCGCTCCGGAGGGATCGCTCTGGTCACCGTCTGCTTCGCAGTGCCGTTCGTCGTCCTGCCGGCGTACTTGTTCCTGCCGGCATTTGAAGACGGCAGGCAGCAGCAGAAGATATCGGAGCGGCCTGAACGACGTCTCCTCAGGTCCAAGCTGACCATGGCCGGGAAAACTAGCAACATCGCGGCAAGATTGAACAGCAGCAACACTCCGGCTTGCAGGCAGAATACCCGCAGAGCCGGTATAGGGATCAACGCGGCCGCGAAGAACGCCGACACGTTGCTGATACCAGCTAGCAGCACCGACAGCCCTGTCCGCTTCAGAACTACTCCCGTTTGCTCGCCACTGGGTACCTCGTTCACCGATAGCTCGGCGTAGGTGTGCGTTAATAGGAACATGTCGTGAACACCGAGGCCCAGGGCTAGAAACGGAACTATCTGAGTGGTCGCTGCGTTGAAGGGGATGCCTAGCAGGGCGCAGAACCCCAGACCAGCTGCCACCGTCGCGCAGATCAACATCACGCCTGCTATGCCAACCCCAGCCTGCGAACGCACTGGGTCCTTCCAGCGGAGGAGCGCGATACCTGCGTACAACAGCTGCAACAGAGCATAGAAGGTTTAGATTCGCGGTGAACACCATTAGCTTTGGATTTGGAAAAGTTTGGAGCACGCAGTGGACAACGCTTGATGGGTGAAGTCGACTCTGAAGAGATTTATGACGTGCTTGTAGGTGCTTATATTGGGTTGGCAACTAATTGCTGATTTCTTCAATAACAAATTTATTTTTACTTGGAACTCTTCGCTCTAGACAATTTTTGGGAACCGTTTTAACGCTTCGTCCGCGCCGCCGATTGTTCGACCGATACACGCGGGCGATGGTATTATTGGGTTGGCAACTAAGTAATTGCCGATTTGTTCAATGAAATAAAAAATTGTTTTTTACTTGGAACGAAGTTCAATCTGTAATGTATTTTCCATTTTGTTCGATGACCTTTTGCCATCTCTCCGACAACTTGAAAATTCCACGCTCGTAGAAAGTCTGATCCTTTCGGCCAAAAACTGAGTTAAGCGAGATTTTACAGCGTCATCATCGTTAAAAGTTTTACCACGAAGGGAGTTGTCCGGGGATCGAAATAAGTGGTAATCCGATGGCTCGAGATCAGGGCTATATGGTGGGTGTAACATCGATTCCCAACCAATATCCATCAATTTTTGCCGAGTGGACAAAGACGTGTGCGGCCTAGCATTGTCCTGCTGGAAAATGACACCTTTACGATTGACCAATTCTGGTCGCTTTTCCTTGACCGCT